AAATATGTGGATTTTTTGGGGGGTTCTCTGCTCTCTTCTGTTGGTTTATGCATGTGTTTTTATGCTAGTACCAAACCATTTTGATTACTGTGGCTTTATAATATAGTTTGAAATTAGGAATGTTATACCTCCAGCTTTAATCTCCTTGCTCAAGAGAGCCTTGACTCCTCTACTTTTTGTGGTTCCTGTTCCAGAGTTATAAGCCAGGTTTTCTGTGAAGCAGGGATTTCTTGACCTTGCAGCTCTGACTACAGAAGTCCTCTTAGTCTTTTTAAAGTCTTTCTATACTTTAAAACTTTTTAAGATGAGAGGCAGCTTGCTTTCTCATTGTGATATTACTTATCCATAGCAATATGTTGTTCCCAGTTTTTTCTTTTTGTTGTTGATACATTATTGACCATAAATTAATAATTATAGCCTCTATTTTTGGCTGAATAATTTTATTCCTTAATTTAATAAATTCTCTGGATTGGGATAATTGAAGTAATGGGTCTGAATTTTGCTTTTTTCTTTGTATGTCATATCATTTTCCCAAAGAAGTTAAGCACTTTACCCAAAGTATACCACTTACACTGTAACCTACCAGCATTTGTATTATCATACCAAAAAGAAATGTTACTAATTTAATTGTCATGAAATGATGTTTGAACTTTCTTTGATTTTCATGTCTCAGATTACTATCCAAAATTATTTATCTCCTTTTGTTATAGTTTGTTTTATACCCACTTAATATTTTTTTTCTTTTTGAGTTAAGTTTCATCAATTAATGATTGATCTATTCTGTTTTGTTCAAGACTCTGATGAAATGATCAGTTTTTCTAGAATCTTTTAAATGTAATTTTGAGTCAATTTCTTTTTGATTTTACATGTTAACACTTCTTGCCTATGTTTTAGATACCTTAAAAGGGACAAGAGAAGCACACAAAGAATAGTTGAGGTACCTGCTTATTTAAAACATTTGCAAATTAATGTCACCAGCCCAACTGGGTAGATTTCTTGATAGGAGCAATTTTGATGATATTCTGTTGGAAGAAATTTTAAGATTATAATTATATTTTTACATTAAAAATTATTGTATTATGTAATGGTGATTTTTAAAAATTGTTTATTACTACCTGGCAATGGTATCTTTTCTCAAGGAAAGAAATAGTTTGGAAAATTGAAAGGTTGAATGTATAAATGAATTTTAAGTCCAAAATGAGAACACAAAGTTACTTTATTATTATTATTATTATTGTTATTATTTTTAAGATGGCATCTTAACATTCAAGGCCAAGATTGGACTTGAACTCATGATTCTGCTGCCTCAGCCTTTTGAATAGTTGAGATGATATGTGCATGTCACAATACCCAGCTGAAAAACATTTTTTTTTTTGCAGTGGTTGAGATTGAACCCTTGAAGATGCTTGTCAAATGTTCTTCCACTGATCTACAAGTTTCTTTAAACTATAATTCTTAACCTGACACACATTCCAAAATTACTTATTAAAAGTATTGATGATATTAGTAGGATTGTATTCTTTCTGTGTTCTCATAGGTTTTATTTATATCCCTATTAAGAGATATATTGTTTTATTGTCAAATATTATAGATATTTTCCTATTTCTCTACTGAAGTGTAAGTTCCCTGGGGATAAAGTTTGAGTCTTTTTCTTCTTTGCTTAAGCAAACTCAGTATTTTGTATATTTTAGGTGTTTAATAAATGTTTGTTGAATTGAATATTACCTTAGAACTGCTCTTGAATATAGAATAAAGCAGAGAACAAAAGAGGTACTTCTTACTAATTATAATTTCTATACTATGATGCCCCTTAAGAAATGACAGTTTAGCCATCTTGATTTAAGTTATGTTTCTATTAGCAAATAGATGGTTTGTGAGCCCTTAAGAAAGAAAGGAGTGATCTTTAGGAACTGATTTTCATTAAGAACAAGGCAGGTTAAACCAGATTTTAACCAGAGTAGTGTAGGGCATCCCTTCAAAAGCTTAATCAAGGGGAAGCTCTTCTGATGCTGACGAGGTAAATGCTTTTTCCCCACTCCTCCCCACCCCCTGTCGCTCGTAATAGTTCTATGATTAGATGACTCAAACTGCCACACCCCAGGAAATTTGCTTGGCGTATTTAGTAATCCTAATCCTGGCTTTCTGTTTTAAGACTAGATAAATAAATGCTTGAGTCTACCAATACTTGCTAAAATAAAAAGTCATCCTTTATGATATGGACAAATGATAGAATGCACATATTTATTTAGTATTTATTTGCTTTGATGATCCATTGGTAAAATCTATGTAAGGATGCTCAGCCTTCTTCATGTTTTATAATCCCTTAAAATATAACTATGATGACCTAAGATTTCTGGTGATTTTGCCCATCAGGTCAATATTCTAAAATATGCAGAACCACGTACATACGGCCCATGTCAACTGCCCAGGGTTTTGTATGGCCCATGTCAACTGGCCCAGGATTTATGCTTCTCACTTTCCATTCCTTATTGTCCTGGAAGAGTATTCCTGGAACTATAACATAATTCTTGTGGTAGTAAATATTTTTGCCAAAACAGACCACTTTTTTCTTTGTGCTGGTTCATCTTTGATGCCTTATATTTGCTTAAGAGGCAATTCTTTTTGGCCTTCCCACTTGTGTATTTGAGAGAGGGTCACATTTGTATCTTATACTTTGTAAGACCCTCCAAATTCATGTCTACCTGTTAATAAACTTAATATAGTCACTAGAGGTATTTGAAGGAGTCTTTGGAAAGTCTGTTTTGTACCATGTCTTGTGTGAATAAAATGACAAGCTACATAGCTCCCAAATGCTGTATTACTATCCAACAAGTAGTTACATCATTGCATACATCTTTCATAGTAATTATATCTCTTACTCCTTATGCTATATAAATATGTGTAGAGCCATTCCAACTCTTACTTTTTGCCAGGGAGTCAGAGTCTTCCTGATTCTGGTCATTGCTCAAGCCATCTTAGTCCACAAGAAGGATTTATATGGGACCACACCAATGAGTATTACTACTACTTCAAATGATACAGCATGGCTCATGAAGATATTCTTTTGTATTTTACTCTAAAACTTTATTGCATAATCTTTCAATTTAAAATCTATGATCCTTCTAGAGTTGAAGTTTGAATATGGATATCCAATTGAATTAGCATCAAGAATTAAAAGACTGCTTTTTTTGGTATGTTTATGAGGGATATTGATGTGCTTTTCTTGTATTATTTTTGTATGTTTTTTGATAACAGGGTAATTTTGATGTCATAAAATGTTTTGAGAAGTTCTCCATCTTTCTTTATTTTCTAAAACAGTTTGTATAGAATTGGTATTATTTATTTCCAAAATGTTTAGTAGAAGTGAAGTCGTACAGGCCTGAGGTGGTTTGACTTTCTTTTATAAGGTTTTCAAAATGCAAATTCCATCTGTCGTTCAGATTTTCTATTTTTATTGTGTCTGTGTTTGTAATTTATTTTAAAAGAAATATATTTTCTAAATGATCAATTCCATTAACATAAAGTTTTAATAATATTTTCCTATCTGCTTATGTCTTTAGGATATGTAGTGATATACCATCTTTTATCAACCACCAGGCAATGCAGGCCTCAGTACCTTTTACTTTATTTTCTTTGCCCATTCTTCCAACTTACATGCCATGTACATATCCTATTTTAATTCCATATACTTCTTATCATCATATTATCCTTAATTTAGATAAAAATTAGTTTTATCTATGTCTTTACGATTTCTTTCATATACATTTACTGTTTCTTTCATATACATGCCTTTTCACATCTTTGTTCATGTGAGATTTTTTTCCTTTTATTTGAAAATAGCCTTTAGTATTTATATTAGAGTATATTTGTTACATATGAGTTTTCAGTTTTGATAGATCTTCAAATATATATATTTTAATCTTTGTCCTTGTAAGACATTTTCCCTGGTACAAATTCTAATTTGGCAGTTACTTTATTTCAACAGTGTTTTTGGGTTTTTATTCTTGCTGTTGAGAAGTTAGCTTTAGCCTGATTATTGCTTCTTTAAAGATGATTTGTCTTTTTAAAATCCTGTTATTTGTTTCTCCCCTCTCCTTCTAATATTCCAGTTTTAATTATTTAGACCTTTCCTTTCCATCTTTCCCTCTCTTCTGTATTTTTCATTTCTCCATGTTTCTTCTGATTTTTTCTAGTTCATTAATTCTCTCTTTAGTTATATCTGTTCTGCTTTTAAGCACACAATTTATATCTTAGTTTCAATTGTTACGTTGTTTATTATTAGTGTTTCTATTGGATTCCTTTCAACCACTGAACTTTCATTCTGTTCCTTTATAAAATTTTCATTTTGTCTTTTATGTCTTAAGTAAAATAAAAAAATCTTTTAATATTTAGAATTCTTTTCTATTTCTTCTGTCTCTTCTTTCTCTACCTCCCTGTTGATAATATATTGAATGGGTAGCAAAAGTACAAATAGAGAGGCTTGTTAAGAGACTGTGGCATTAATCAAAGGACAAATGTTGGATAGTAGTAGGGACATTAAGAGTGAAAATGATATTTAGGAGGTCAAAACAAGATCAGTGGCAGATTGCACATTGCAGTTAAATTATATGTGTTAAGGATTTCTACGTTCTTAAATTGTGTAACTTGATGCATACTGGCATATCTTTCATTGAGGAAAAAACAATGGAAAGGTTAGTTGTTGGTGCTGATGGTTATTGTGTGGTAGAAATCATTAGTTCAGATTTAGACATATCAATTTGATGTTCATGAGACATCTAAGTGGAGCAATGTAGTAAGGAGTTTTCTATGCAGAAGATAGTTGACATGTCTATTCCAGAGATAGAATTTGTGATTCATGTAATTATGGCAGTATAATTAAAGATGAGTAAAGATGAAACAGACCATCCAAGGAGATACTGAACAACTTGAGATGAGAGGAGTTCTTAGAATTACATCATTTAATGCCTAGGTAGAAGAAAATATGGCAAAGGTGATAGACAATGAGCTATAGTGGGATGACAGGAAAATCAGAAGTGGTGTCCCACAAAAGCCAAGGTAAGATATATTTTAATAGGGAGGTAATGTTCAACAACTTGATATACTGCTGAGAATACTTTAAAAAAGCCATTTGTTCAAAAAAGTTTGAAGCAAGATAGTAACATAACTGAGATTATTGGTAACTTAACAGAGAACTATTTTAGTAGTATGTTTAGACTGAATGTAAGTTACAGTGGGATGAGGACTAAGTGGGAGGTGATAAATAATTGAGACAACTCTCAAGAAATGAGAGGGGAGCGAGAGGGGGGAGGGGGAGGAGGAGGGGAGAAATGGGTTGATATCTAGAGGATGTTGTGGGGTTGAAAGAACATTTTTTGTGAGAAGGAGAGTTTATGTAGGAAGAAATGAAAAAGGCAGAATATGGAGAGGGATCTGAATCCCAGATTGGAAGAGTGGTTGTTGTGTTATTTTATTAGAAAAGGAAGATAAGGTGTGTGCAGAGATGGTGGATTGATCTGTTGTGTAGCAATAAACAAGGGAATTGCTTTATTTAATTTGTAAAATATAGACCAATCATCTGCTGATAGTGAGGAGGAGATATGGAGGTGTTTAAAGGCTTAGGCAAGTAGAAAAGGGTTGAGATTATTTTCAAAAATAGGAGAATAAATTAATTCCTGAAATCCTCTAGACCACTTTGAAAGCCCATAGGAAGAGTGTGTGTGTGTGTGTGTGTGTGTGTGTGTGTGTGTGTGTGTGTGTGTATTGAAATACAGGTGTGAATAGTAGAACTAAAATATTAGTGGCATTATAGAATGTTAAGTTTATTCATTTCCCACATAGGTAGGTAGA